ATGTCATTCAGCATAAAGCTGCGAGATGGGTTTCCAAAAACTAGCATGATAGTTCTAAAGTTGTTTTGGCTCAACTTGCTTGGCTTTCTCTTCGTGTCCGCTTTCTCCATGCTAAACTTATAACCTTTCATTAGATTTATTATGGTCAGGTAAAGATTGGCATTCCTCTTCCTTGATGAAGCCTGTTTGTAGCACTCGATCATCTGAGCGTGATCATTGCTTTTGACACGTGCCATCTTTAAGGGATCTCTTTGTTCCTTGATTCCCTCATTCCGTATTGGAATTCTCTTCATTCGTCTTCTGTTAATTGTAAATTTGAGGCTTTTACTACTCTGATACGCAGTGTTGGGCTTAATCCAAAGACTAATATTTAGGAGGTTATGAGGTTATTCTCTATGATAAGGAATGTATTGTTGACAATAATTTTTAGGCAGATTCAATAACAATTAACAACATTAGCTAGGAAATAAATCAATTAAATAAAAAAAAATAAAAAATATATAGTTTTTACGATTTTATTCTTTTCATATGAAATACAGGTTCAGCCCCAGTAATACAAATAAAGTGGTATAGTGTGTTTTGGTGTTGTGGCCAAAACGACTATACAAACAAACAAACAAACAACACAGGTACAATCCTGGAGCAGTTATTTGCTGTTCAAAGACAGAACGTGTGATCTTCATGAAGGCAATGTAAGCGTTACGACTTTCTGGTTGTACTCATAGCCGCATTGGGCAATCAATGGTCCACGTGACTGAGTAGGCGGGAGCATATTATGTGTTGTGGGTAAGACTAATCCCCGGGCACTCTGTGAGGGTGAGCCCACAGTGTAGGGGTGGTCGGGTAGGGTAGGGTCGGGTAGGGTAGGCCGAACTCTAACCCTAACCCTAACCCTAACCCTAACCCTAACCCTAACCCTAATCCTAAACCTAACCCTAATCCTAACCATACCCTATACCCGACCACCCCTACCAGAGTACCCAGGGATTAGTCTTTTCTAGGTGTTATGGGGTGTTATATAATATCTATAGGCCGGAGTTTTCAATGTGTGGCGTGGAACGCGCATACTCCAGCCAAGTGCGAAAGACGCCAATAAAGGCTATAGCTATAAAAGGTCGCTGGGGGCGGCTTATGAGCTACACCGACGCGAGTTTGCGTTACTCGTGTCGCAACGGCGTGCAGACAACGAACAGGCGGTATAAGAACGAGCTGATTTATATCGACGACTTTTGTTACAGGGGAAACGACATTGGATATTAGCGGTCAAGACGAGGTGAATATTTCTGTTTTGCTGATATGTTATTGTTTGACTATACGAATGCGCCAGTAATCTAAATCACGCAACACTTTTACAGAAAAAGTTTTAGAATAGGGGTATCGCCAAACAAAGGAAGATTGTATGCGCGCATTTAAACATTTGGCTGTATTTGTGGCGATGCCTGATCAAGGTAGTGCTTTGCTGAATATAATACATATACTATAACTATAGTTATATATGCACACAGACACACACACACACACACACACACACACACACACACACACACACACACACACACA